CGTGCGCTGCGTGGGTGTGCCGCATGGGTGTGCGTTCTCAAGGCTCGTCCGGCATTTACAAGTGAGTGTTAGTAAATAAACTGTTTTCCACCCGCTTTCTTGGAGAGACCGAATTAATTTTTCTCTTGACACAGTGGAGGTGCGGTTTGCGGGCTTCTCAGAAACGGAAAGCAAGGCAAGCCAAGCCCAACGACTGTTCTGACTCAACAGCTTGATATCAAAGCCTTCCCTGTTTGCGGTCATAGTGCTTTGTCATAGCAAATAGCGATTTTGCAGAAAGAAAACGCGGGAAAGAAAATCGTAGAATTCGGTCCAGCCTATATGGGTGCTCATCGCCCCTCCCAATACAGCAGGAATACACACCACACCACCACACACACACACGCACACCACCACACACCACACACACACACACACCACACACACACACCACACACACATCACACACACTCACACACACATCACACCACACACACACACAACACACACCACACACTACAAACAGCACACACACACACAGCACACGACGCACGCACAGCACGCCAAAGACGCACCGCACGCAACACACACATACACACACTCCACACACACACACCACAGCACACACACACACACACCACACACACAACACACACACACACACACATATGTAGTATATACATATTTCTCATATACTCCTAATGTTAATAGCTGATATGTAAGGTCACTGAAGGCGGAATACCTCCCAAAGTGTTATCATCTTTGTTCCCATAGCTGGAGGCTCGGTTTTTACTGTTTACCGTTGTATTGATAACGCCTCGCTCACAGGGTGTCCGCTTCTATGGCAGGTAGTCCGCCTGCTATGGAGACTTATGTCCGGCTAACACAGTTACTAAGGCATATATATAAAATAAATAAATAAATAAATAAATAAATAAATAAATGATATATATATATATATTACGCAGCGCACGTGGTCCGATCACAGAAAGAATGGCACTCCGTCGTATATTGGCATACGCCTTGCATATGGATCGCGGACCGGTCCGCTCGTGTCCTACTCTCGCCTGCACAACAAATTAGGTGCATGCTCTCACGTATCGCTCTCACGCTTCCTATCACGCTGCTGGCCATTATTCCACCGCCTAACCGATTCGGCCCTAGATGGCAAGCCATGAGTAGGTAGGTACGTCAGGCGGCATTGCGGCCCGCCTACGTAACAGTCAAGTACTGTGTTGGTAGAAGCAGCACTTCACCTCCTCCTCCTCCCCCTTTCTCACACACGGACTTGCCTCTCCCGCCTGCTCTCCCTCTCTCTCGCGCGCGCGCTCTCTCTGCTCTCTCTCTCTCTCTCTCGCCTCTCTCTCTCTCTCTCTCTCTCTCTCTCTCCCCGTTCTCTCTCTCGCTGCTCGCTCTCTCTCTCTCTATGTGCGCGCTCTCTCCTCCTCTCCTCTCTCTCTCTTCTCCCTCTCTCCTCTTCTCCCCGCTCGCTCTCTCTCTTCTCTCCTCTCTCTCTCTCTCTCTCTCTCGGCGCGCGCTCTCTTCTCTAATCTATCTACTCTATTCTCAGCTCGCTTCGCTCTCTCTCTCTCTCCCTCTTTCTCTCTCCGCACTTTCTTTCTCCGCACTTTCTTTCTTCCTCACTCTCTTTTCTCTCTCTCTCTCTCGCGCCTGCGCCCTCTCTCTATCTCTCTCTTTCTCTGGTCTTACCCTCTTCCGTTGCTATCCCACACCATCCGCCTTCCCCGCCAAGTCCGTCTAGCGCACGCTTTATGTTTACTCGCACAGGCTATATAACTGCCCTAAATCTTTACAAGTATTGTTTACTAACGCGAATCAACGTGAGAGGACTAGAACTGAAGCGTGGCTGTTCCTTCTAGATCTCACTCTATCTGCCTATACGCACCCACGCGTTCATATATATACATAGACTGTAACACATACTCACATGTACACGCATACGTACGTGCGCGGCGCACACACGCACAACGCACACACACTCACGCACACGCACGACGATTACACAAAGCGCACACGACATGCACGCTCACGCCAACGAAACGCACACACCAAGCGCACGCACCGCACAGGCCCGCAACACACACACTCGCTCTCTCTCTCTCTCTGCTCTTCTCTCTTTCTCTTTCTCTCTCTCCGCTCCTCTTTCTCTTTCTCTTTCTCTCTCTCTCTGCTCTCTCTCGTTCTCTCTCTCTCTCTTCTCTCTCTCGCATCGCTCTCTCTCAGCATGCTCTCTCTCGTTCTCTCTCTTGCTCTCTCCTCTCTCTCTCTCTCTCTCTCTCTCTCTTCTCTCTCTGCTCTCTCTCTCCTCTCTCTCTCTCTCTCTCTCGCTCTCGCTCTCTCTCTCTCTCTTCTTCTCTCTCTCTCTCTCTCGTCTCTCTCTCTCTCTCTCGTCTCCTCGTTTCTCTCTCCTCTCTCTCTCTCGGCTCTCTCTCTCTCTCTCCTCTCTCTCTCTCGCGTCTCTCTCTCTCTCTCGTCTCTCTCTCTCTCTCTCTCTCTCTCTCTCTCTCTCTTTCGTTTCTCTCTCGTCTCTTCTCTCGTCTCTCTCTCTCTCTCTCTCTCTCTCTCTCTTCTCGCTCTCTCTCTCTCTGCTCTCGTCTCTCTCTCTCTCTCTCTCTCTCTCTCTCTCTCTCTCTCTCTCGTCGCTCTATCTCTCTCTCTCTCTCTCTCTCTTCTCTCTCTCTCTCTCTCTCTCTCTCTCCCTCTCTCTCTCTTCTCTCTCTCTCGCTCTATCTCTCTCTCTCTCTCTCTCTCTCCTCTCTCTCTCTCTCTCTTCTCGCTCTATCTCTCCCTCTTTCTCTCTTCTCTCTCTCTCTCTCTCTCTCTCTCTCTCTCTTCTCTCTCTCTCTCTCTCTCTCTCTCCCTACTTCCCCCCCTGCGTCTTGTGATTGTGACCGTGTATCGGATGTGAGTATGTCACTGTGTGTAAGGCATGGTGGTAAGACCATGCAGTAATGCTAAGGCGTGCTCCCCCCGGGGAACACGCGCGTAGAAACTGGTCCTACGATCAGTTAAGCAGCTAATATAAGCTAGCGTTGTGTTCTGTCCTCGTTCCCTTGTATTCTACACAGACAGAGTCACCTGGGAATATCCGGGTCAGTCACGCTGAACACGTGTGTTTATATTCAGGCATGCGTGTACATGTGTCGAGCCCGCCAGCTACCTGTGTGTGTGCGTGCGTGCGTGCGTGCGTGCGGTGCGCGTGCGTGTGTGCGGCTGTCGTGCCGTGCGCGCGCGGTGTGTAGTGTGTGTGTGTGTGTGTGTGTGTGTGTGTGTGTGTGTGTGTGTGTGTGTGAGTGCGTGTGCGTGCGTGCGAGCGTGCGTGTGAGTGCGTACGTGTGCGTGTGTATCTGTGATGAGTCGTGGAGGTTTGATTTATCGTTGGGTGTCACTTTCTCACGGGCGTAGATTGAGGGCACGTGATCACGTCTTATGACGTCACTGCACAAGGCGTTTATAATCATTTCCCTATATTATTATATTATTATACCCTTATTTCCCTAACCCTAACCCTAACCCTAACCCTTAATACTAACACTAACACTAACTAATCTTACTTAATCTTAACACTAGTGCTGCCACGTTGCGGCACCCTCAATCTACGCCCGGGGGAAAGTTATTCCCTTTATGGTGCACGCACACGACCGCCATCTACACAATGAACTTCGCTCGGAATTTACTGCGCTGTCTGTCGTCCGCGTTTTTGCTGTGTTTTGTTCTCTCTCTTCATGGATGTTATTTTCCGGATAGCCGAGACTCTCCCATGCCTGACGTGCAGCGCGCTACGCATGTGTAAAGTTGTACTGCGCGTTGTAGATGTTTTTGGTGGATGTCCGTACACAGCAGAGTGGGCAGGGTGCAAAACTGGGAGAGTTTCGGCGCGTACACGACACATACATTATTCATGCTAAATAGCCACTGATTCAAGGCTCAGATTCCGCTCGAAACTTTGGCCAGCTAAATGATGCGCATTTCTATAGCAAGTTCTCGTTGTCATAATTTATCGGTAGGTGCAATCTAATTATGATTTCATTCACGCGTGTTGATGACAGTCTCCAGGTGTTAGTGGGAGTTGGGGTGGGCGTAGGGTTGGTGTGGGGATGGGTACGTGGGCATGGGGTAGGTGTGAGGAGTGGGCATGGGGTGGATGTGGAGTGGGGGTGGGCGTAGGGTTGGTGTGAGGATGGGGTAGGTGTGAGGAGTGGGGTAGTCACCTATAAGTGTCGGCTTATCAATAAAGTAGGGGGTATATACACTCGCGACTGCTGCTAGAGCTAGCTGTGTTGTCTGTCACATCTGCTGATGCAGTGACTGTGTGGTCATGCCAAGAGCTGCAATGTCGTCTGCAATAATTATTTCTGTTATAGTGCCCTTACGTAATGGATCGTGAGACCATTACTTGAATGGTAGGAGAGAAATGCGCGCTATTGTTTTGTGAAGGGACAGGAGGCCTGTGCTATTGTTTTGTGAAAGAGTAGGAGAACTGTGCTATTGTTTTGTGAACGATCAAGAGACATGTGCTATTGTTTTGTGAAGGAACAGAAGGCCTGTGCTATTGTTTTGTGAAAGAGCAGGAGACCTGTGCTATTGTTTTGTGAACGAGAGGGAGACATGTGCTATTGTTTTGTGAATTGAAAGCAGATCTTTGCTATTGTCTTGCAAACAGCGTTCCGTTATCATCAAGCGGCCGAGTAGCCACTGGTCAAGCGGTCGCTTTACACCTGAGCACAGCACATAGGTGAACGCCGCCGGCCCCTCTCTCACCTGTCCGGCCCAGGTGACCGGCAGGTAAGTAATGTTGACCGGTGCTGCTGCGCGGAGTTAGCCGAATAGGGAGGGTACAGCGGAGAGGTATATGCATTCCTCTCTCTCTCTCTCTCGCCCCGGGCCGCAGAAACAGGTTGTCACCGTGGCTGCATGGGCGGCAGCAGGGGCTTGGTGGGTCGCCGTAGCCGCTAGAGCGTGAGAGCAGCAGCAGCAGCAGCAGTAGCAGTGCGCCTCCACACACGCGCGCCCACCGTTGCCGTGCCGACACTGTTACCTACGTCTTGTGCCGAGCGGGCGGGCAGAGAGTGTGCAGCGTGTGCACTTGAACTCTCGAAGTTATCACACACACACACACACACGTATATATCTATATGCGCACGTACACGCACACACATACACGCTGTTCCGCGCAGGGTGCTTGTGGTTTAGGCGGTGCAAAGGTGCGATGCGATGACACTGTGATTGTACTATAGCAAGCACGTCTGGTCACCGACGTCTCAGCTTCTCACACGCCTGGATAATATCTGCGTCTGCGTGCGTGCGTGACTGCGAAGGATACCTCGCCGTGTTAATTAACGCAGAGAAGAGGAAGCCGCGAGCGACCCCCGGGGAGGAACCCGCGGCGGAGAGATAGCGGGGCGTGATTCGAGGAGGTGCTCGTGAGCCGTGAGCGCGAGGCAGGCGTGAGCGTGAACCGTGAGCCGTGTGATATATACACTGCAGTGGGTCGTGCGAGAGCTGTCTCCCTCGTGAGGGAGAGTGAGAAAGCGGAAGAGAGAGAGAGAGAGAGAGAGAGACAGAGAGAGATGTCACTGCTGGGAATAACGCTACTGTGGTGCTAATAACAGGCGCATAACGGTCTTCAATAAGGAAAGTGCGAGACATCATGGATTACTGGATACAGACTGAGACTGCCGCCTCGAAGCGGTTCGAGATGCGAAGGGAGGAACATAAAGGTATTTGTTGTCACCACCCTTCGTGTGAGCTCTAGAACTAGAGCCCTTCGCTCTGCCACAGGCCTGCACTCTATAGTTCTAGACCTACCTTCATGTGTGATGGGAAGTGAAATTTGAGACTTTAAGCCCTTTATATCCTTTATAGAGAAGGGAGGTCTGCGTGAAACCACCGAGGCACGGTTGTGGGGGAGTGTTCGATGTCTGTCTGTTTGTTTGTTTTTATGGCTGTTTGTGCTTTCGTTTTTTTGCGTGTTTGATCATAGAGTGAGCTTCCGGCGGCATCGAGGTGCAAATTTCGTATCAGATTAAATCGGTTGTTAGCTCCTAGAGGGAGCTACACTCGTAACCTGTTGTCGCTGCGATGGCGGTTGTTGCCTGGGCGACGAGGTAGCGACAGCTCGGGCACGTGTGGAATGCAGGGAGGATGGACACGGAGTTACCCGAGTACGTGTCCTGCTGGTTTAAGATCTGTGACAACGGTCCGTCACGTAATCGTAGATTCGTGCTCTCACACGCCCCTCTCTCTTTCTCTCTGTCTCTTTCTCCTCTCCTCTTTCTCTGGTTCTCTCTCTCTTTCTCTCTCTCTCTCTCTCTCTCTCTCTCTCTCTCTCCCCCCTTCTCGCTCGCCATCCCTTTCCCCCTCTCTCTGTCCGTCTATCTGTCTGTCTCTTTCTCTTTCGCTCTCTCGCCTATTTATATATATTAAATATAAATATATATATATATATAATATATATGTGTGTGTGTGTGGGGTGTGTGTGTGGTTGTGTGGGGTTGTGGGTGTGTCCTGTGCGGCGAGAAACGACGCGGTATGTGTGAGTGTGGAGAGAGCTGTGTGGTAGAAATCGTGTGTGGTATGGGTGTGTTGTGGCTGCGTGCGTGCTGTGCGTGCGTGCGTGGACGAAGAGTCAGGACGTGCGTGGAGGAGGAGAGGAGGAAAAGAGGAGAAGAGAGAGAGACGAGAGAGGGAGAGAGAGCGAGACGAGAGAAGAGAGGAGAGAGAGAGAGAGAGAGTAGAGAGAGAGAGAGAGAGAGAGGAGAAATGAGAGACGAGAGAGAGAGAGAGAGAAGAGAGAGCAGAGAGAGGAGAGAGAGAGGAAGAGAAACAGAGAAGAGAGAGAGAGGAGAGAGGAAGAGAGCGAAGGAGAAAGGAGCGGGAGAGAATGCGAGAGCGGAGAGAGGGAGAGGATAGTGTGAGAGATCGAGGAAGAGATGATGTAGTATAATCGGGATAGATATGGTAACTCAATGTGATTACAGTCGGCATGATGAGTAGGAGAATCGAGCGCCTGAGGGATATATTAGTATTGTGCGGGAAGGCGCAATTACGGCTAGAGCCAGTTTATGTAATGATTCACAACACAGTGTCAAACTCAGGGAGGATGACTGAGGGCCGGCGACCGGAGATGATGAGCGGTGAAGGTGAGAGCTCGTCTCGCTCTGCTGATGAGAGAGGAGAGTCGATGAGAGAGCGCAGAGAGATGAGAGAGAGAGGACAGAGAGAAGAAAGTAGAAGAGAGTGCGTGGAGATGGAGATAGAGGGGTGAAGTGGAAGAGAGAGGGGGAGTGAATTAATGGAATGTAATCAGTAACTCTGTGGAGTTCACGCTGTGCGTATTCTATGGTGCCATTCGGCTGGAGCTGGAAGGTAGGGGGAGGGGAGATGGAGGTGATGGAAAGAAAGAGAGGGGAGAAGAAGAGAAGGGAAAAGGATTATGGGCGATTCAAGGCTCTCGAACTTACCTTT